GGTAGGATAGAGGGGATATAAGGATAGGATAAAGAGGATATAATGACAGGAGGTAGGATAGAGGGAATATAATGGCAGGGGGTAGGATAGAGGGGATATAATGACAGGAGGTAGGATAGAGGGGCTATAATGACAGGGAGCAGGATAGAGGGCATATAATGACAGGGGGTAGGATAGAGGGGATACAATGGCAGGGGGTAAGATAGAAGGGATATAATGACAGGTGGTAGGATAGAGGGGCTATAATGACAGGGGGTAGGATAGAGGGCATATAATGACAGGGGGTAGGATAGAGGGGATATAAGGATAGGATAAAGAGGATATAATGACAGGAGGTAGGATAGAGGGAATATAATGGCAGGGGGTAGGATAGAGGGGATATAATGACAGGAGGTAGGATAGAGGGGCTATAATGACAGGGAGCAGGATAGAGGGCATATAATGACAGGGGGTAGGATAGAGGGGATATAATGACAGAGGGAGGATAGAGGGGATATAATGACAGGAGCTAGGATAGAGGGGATACAATGGCGGGGGTAGGATAGAGGGGATATAATGACAGGAGCTAGGATAGAGGGGATACAGTGGCATGGGGTAGGATAGAGGGGATACAATGGCAGGGGGTAAGATAGAAGGGATATAATGACAGGTGGTAGGATAGAGGGGCTATAATGACAGGGGGTAGGATAGAGGGCATATAATGACAGGGGGTAGGATAGAGGGGATATAATGACAGAGGTAGGATAGAGGAGATTTAATGACAGGGGGAAGGATAGAGGGGATATAATGACAGGAGCTAGGATAGAGGGGATAAAAGGACAGGGGGTAGGATAAACGGGATATAATGACAGGAGGTAGGATAGAGGGAATATAATGGCAGGGGGTAGGATAGAGGGGATATATGACAGGAGGTAGGATATAGGGGATATAATGACAGGGAGCAGGATAGAGGGCATATAATGACAGGAGGTAGAACAGAGGGGATATAATGACAGGAGGTAGAATAGAGGGGATATGATGACAGGGGGTAGGATAGAGGGGATACAATGGCGGGGGTAGGATAGAGGGGATATAATGACAGGGTGCAGGATAGAGGGGATATAATGACAGGAGGTAGAACAGAGGGGATATAATGACAGGAGGTAGAATAGAGGGGATATAATGACAGGGGGTAGGATAGAGGGGATATAATGACAGGGGGTAGGATAGAGGGGATATAATGACAAGGGGCAGGATAGAGGGGATATAATGACAGGAGCTAGGATAGAGGGGATACAGTGGCATGGGGTAGGATAGAGGGGTACAATGGCAGGGGGTAGGATAGAGGGGATATAATGACAGGAGGTAGAATCGAGGGGATATGACAGGGGGTATGATAAAGGAGAGACAAACCAAGAAATTACAGAAAAGTATACACAGGAAAAGCAAGGTTGTTAAAAGGGCAAGATAAGAAAATCATATCACCATGAAGGGTTATTAAAGGAGCAGGGTAAAGGCACTGTAGTTTATAGAGGTGTATTAAATAGGTAATGCTACCTTTAATTGGAGTAATATTACAATGCATTTAATCATATATATCTGATGTGCTATGACTGTGCCTTAATGCTATAGATCTGTATCTGCAGATTTCACTGTGACCTACATTCCGAGGATCTGCCAGCACTGGCCATGCGCATCCCGTTTCAGCATAAGAAAGTATTTGGACGTCGATATAAATTAATTTCTATAGAGAGGAATAGTAGGCGATGCAAACAGTAGCCCTGGAGCTTCGTAAGGCTCCTATCACTCTGCATATTGTGCAATCCAAGTGTAATCTCTAACATACATCGATCGATATAATCTAATCGTCACTGGCGTGGCTCATTAGACACTATTGCTGACACAGATCTAATCAATGAATTTACCAGATTTTTAATGTATGTTGTGTCATTCATATAGCATTGTGATCATTGTTCTTTTTTATTTTTTATTAAACATGACGTGATTTTTTTTCAAATTTCCATAATAAAATATATCTTTCTGTTCTGTCATCAAAGTGTGCTTTGTTGTTTGTTTGTTTTGATTGTTTTTCTAATGTGCCTCATTTAAGAATTGTAATTGTTTCCTGATCTGTGTAACTTGATTAATGCTTAGGCCAGCCTGTGTTGAGCCAAAACTCACAATTATTTAAAATATTATTTTGTTTATTTATTTATTTATTAATTCCATCTTTGTGCATGCTCACATACTTGCCAACTGTCTTGAGAATACTGGTATAATCCTAATTTATGACCTCTTATCCTGTTTGTATTTTGCATGAAATTTCGAGGATGTTGTCTTTAAACGTATGATCGATGACATATTTTGGAGGGGTCTACAGCAAAGCAGCATAGAAGCTAAACTTCTAGAATGGGGGGAGAGTAGTTTTACCTTTAGGATGGTCCTCAAAGAGTTAACAATATCATCCAATCAGAGTTATTAATAAAACTCACTCTCTCACTCCGAACCGTGCAATGTATCTAGTACAGTCTAAGAATTCTAGGTCGACTTGTGCAAAGAAATGGAGGCAAAGTGCGCAGCAAAACATATTTATTTGTCATTTTTTTCTGTCCCCTTGATTCAGAGATAAACACAGCTCATATTTGTAGGATTATTTCTATGTTCATCTCTTATACCCAGGATGCAGGGGGGTGATGTGGTTTAGCAGAGAACTCCCCTGTCTCCGTTGGTACGTTCCGCTGGGTGATCGCAGACGCTGTAATAAGGAACATTGCTGCAATTTTCTGCTAATAACTTAATTTGTTTATGCAATATGCTTTGCTAGGCACCTACCCTGATTATTTAGACTGACAAAATAAACAAATTACAAGTTCACTTTTTTTTTTTTGCAAAGATATACACTGCGACAAATTGAGCTTTGCTATGTTTTATTTATTTTATTTCATTTTAAGCACGATAACCACTCCACACACAGGGCGCCATAAGGAGTGGTCTCAGGCACAAACACATTGTAGCCGAGCCTCGTGGAACGCATGACACAGTAACGATGTCATGTGAGGGATTATCAGATGACCTCATATGTATAGATCCAGGTTTGGATTTATGATGTCAGCATTCTGACCCAGCTGGACCGCTCTGCATTATATGACCTCATCATAAGCTTTTACCCCTATTTTCTTCAGATAAACTAGCAGGGTTATTTACTAAGGTGGAGATTGTCATGAATTCAAAGTGAATTTAAAGTTTAAAGAAACACTATAGTCACCTAAACAACTTTAGCTTAATGAAGCAGTGTTGGTGTATAGATCATGCCTCTCAGGTTTTACTGATCAATTCACTACCATTTAGGAGTTAAATCACTTTGTTTCTGTTTATGCAGCCCTAGCCACACCTCCCCTGGCTATGATTGACACAGC